AGCAGGAGCAGGAGCAGGAGCAGGAGCAGGAGCAGTAGCAGATCATACTAGTATCGTAGTACTGTACAGCAGCAATATGTGTATTAGGTGTAGCAGCATATAAAAAAAATATATATATATACACATATATATATATATAGTAATCAGCTATACTTATTTGGAAAGGCGAACTGAGCACCATTTTACTTTTCTTCTTTCTTTGGGGGGGCCGTCGGGAATTTCAAGCGTTTGGTGCCTTTTGGGGTTTTGTCAGGAAGACCTCCTGCGGAAGATCCTTGAAGAGGTCTGACCGGAGGCCAGGAAAGCTTCGATGCTGAGCCGTTCAAGTGGTTCAGGAGGACCCCCCGAAGCAGGTCTGACCGAGGATGGTCACGGTCGGCCGAGCCCTTTATATATAATTTGTATGACCAGTGGGGGCTGACGCAAAGCAGTAGATAAGGTCCAATCCGCACATAGACTCTGCACCAGCACTCTCAACCGAAGTGGGAGACCATCGTGTCCATCTCAGATGATTCAATGTGCTGCCAAGAATGTCCCGGGTTTTCAATACAATGGTAAATCCTGCATGGCGCGGCGAGACATAGGATTTTCTTCAAGGAGATTCCGTTTGTTTGGGTTTTCTCAACGATTCTCGGGACCGAACGTGACGCAGTCCGTCAGATGATCTGGGTTCCATTCTTCCAGGCTCCAGAAGCAACTCCAAAGACTTCCGTTCCGAGAAAGCCGAGTTCTTGAGAGCCTAGAGTCATGTAACGCGAGAGGTCGCCCCTGCCCAACAGGAGAGAAAGCCTCATGTACGCTGGCTAGCGGTCGCACCGACCGGTCGCAACGACGGGGTCCAAAGGACCGACGGTTGTGGCGGCGTTCACTCGACCGGTGGGTTCACGAAGGGGCGTGAACGATGGAGAGAGCGCAGGGAGTCGTCTATGGGTCAACCTGGAAACCTTCGGCGTTTGAACCTGAAAGAAATGGATGGCATCTCCCCAGTACAAACCACTTGGCTATGTTTCTTTGAGGATGTGGGGTAATTTCTCCAACAATCCAACATATTGGAAGAACCAGACTTGGGGTTCCTGGGGTTCCCAAAAGGCTTCCAAGATAGATTGGAAAATAACATCACCCCAAACAATGGAGGCCACCGGGAAACCGGGCCATGGTGTTTCGATTTCTTCGGGTCCACCGCGGCCAGAACTCCGATGGACCGATGGGCCGATGGGCGCGGAGGGCGGCGGAGCACAGCGCAGCTCGCGGCGGCGGAGCGCAGCTCTTCGAGGCCGAGCTGCGCTTCCGGAAGAATGGCTAGTCAGGAGTCAGGAATGTCCAAAGCTTGCTGGAATGATCTGGAATGAAAAGTCTCTTCGGCTCATTGAGTTCAAGATCTCAGCAATATACAAGCCAAGTCTCAAGACATGCTGAATTGGAAGGGTATGGATGGTGCAACATGCGTTCGCTTGCGTTCGGAAGCAGCAAGCCCCTCGGTTTGATTCGAACACCTCACACGTTCGGAGAGCGGCCGAAAGGCCGCCAAGGATGCGCTGGCAGTTGATTGCCATTCCTCCTCTGTCAGTGGCAGCATGGATCAGCAGCGTCCTTGCTCCTAGTAGCGATGCCCTTTGCTCCTAGTAGCGTCCTTGCTCCTAGTAGTACGGCCAGGAGCCCCTAGTAGCTTCTTGTTCCTAAGGTCATAATCCAGGGCTGCCCCTAGTGGCAGCCCGCCTGAACCTCCGCAAAGATCACATCCAGCTGGGTGCGAAATCCAGTGAACGCCATCCAGCTGGGTGCCAACTGGTCCTAAGAACAGCAGAGCGGCATTTGGAGTTTAACCAGCCAGCCAACTGTTTGGCAGGATGACCAATTTCAACCCCAGTCATGCTGACAGGGCCCAGACCTCCGTCATGTACGTAGTGGAGGTCTTGCTGGTTTTTCGACATGAGAAGCCACCCCTCTACCATGTCGCATCTCGCATCGCCTGCGACCGACCTCATCGCCACCGAAAGCTGTTCTCCTGGCTGGAGCCGAAAGCAAACGGAGCCTGCAACACGTTGGCAAGAGGAAGCTGCCAGGCAGCTAACCCCAAAAAAGGTGGCGTTCACGCCACCGTGGTGGCGGCGTTGCCCAAACTTGCGAAGGGGCGTTGGGTGGAGTGTGATTGCAGAGTCTTCTATTGATGGGCTGAACGGCACCAAAAAAGAGTTTCAGGAAAGACCTACGGTAGGCGAAGGGTTCCAGACCTTCGCTGTTCTCCCTCCCCCGCATGGAGATGCCCATCTGTGACAGAATCCATGGGTTGGAACGGAGAAACACACCAAAGCTGCGGTGCACGGTCCACCCGCCAGGCCACACGCAGCTCGGCGGCGGATGCCCAGCAGCTCCGGCGCCGGCGGCTCACAGCGCGACCGCGCAGGAGTCTCCGCTGTTTGCGATGATGGGTTTGACAGGGTTTTGCACCATTGAGCGACCAGATGCCACTTGGGGAGAGGCCACGAACAAAAAGGGAGATCTAGACCATGCACCCATGATTTTGCTTAAGGTGATGTTTTATTCTCCCCATAGGCAAATCCCCTTTGGGGACATATTTGTTACTTTTTCTTCTGGTTTCCTCAAGCAAATCCACGTAACAGCCCAGCCATTTGAAACTTGTTCAAGTTTGGAGATCCATGAGACCACCACCACGATGCAGCAGAACATGGGCATCTCCATTGAAACCACGGGTAGAACGACGCTGTTGACTTCACAGCTTCGACTCCTTCGCATCTGGGACGGTCACGCCGGGCCGCGCCGCGCAGCGCCGCTCGCCAAGCCTCGCGTCGTGGACGATGGTCGGTGGGGGGCCCGACACGAAGAGTTTTTTGAGTCACCAGAAAGACAGGTTGCATGATGCATGGACCTGTTGGTAGATTATTTGAGTATAGTCTTAGTATGACCGTCATGTTCGACCATCATTTGAACAACAACCACTCAACCAAGAACAAGCTGGGCGCTTAGCTCAAGAAGAAGATAACTGGAAGGGGCATCAGCCACCTTACATAACTGGCCACATAAAAGAGAAACGGAAGCTCTTCAACCATTTCTTTTAGTCTTAAGCTGGCAGTAGTATCAAGACGGATTGGGTACCCCGAAAGTCTTCGGGCGGTCAGGCTTGGACTTATAAACCGCCCTTGGAGCCAAAAGTATCCAAAAGTCTGTGAAAGATCCGTTCTCCTTGCAGGCTTGGCTTCTTCTTTTTCTTCCAAACGCAAGACAATGGTAGAACATGGTCCGAACACCCCAAAGACCATCGTTTTCTTTCAGTACTGTAGCTCATTCTTTTCAAACCACAATTTTCATGTTCTGTCAAGAATGTGTGCCAACTTCCTGCAGGACACCCCACCGACGCGGCGGAAGACGGGCCATGTCGTGGACGGCCGTGTCGCGGAGTGCCTTCGAAAAAAGGAACACCGACGGCACTGACGAAGCTTTGGATGGTCTCTACAAGAGCAGAAACGTTCAAAGATTGAGAGTTGATGGTGCTGCTTAAAGGCCACCTTCAGAGCTGAAAATCCCATACATTCTGGTGAATGGTATATTCTTTGAAGCAGTGGGAAGCCTGGGAAGTTGTGCCAGGAAACGTGAGGGAGTGGCAGTTACTTTCTCACGATGTTTTCGAAAGAGTGGAACCAGCCAACGGCTTACCCTAGTTTTGGTGGTTTTCATCTGAAACTAACCACTTGAGAGAGCGATCAGCACAGGTGAACAGGATAAAGGATAGATCAGCTGCTGGATGGAACTCCAGCCATGTTCCAGCTTCGATGAGCTTTACGGTGGCATGTTCACCGCAATCGTTGGTACTTTGGGGTAGAAGAAGGCACCTTTTAATGAGACACCCTGCCCCATGTCGCCGCTGTTGAGTAGCGAAATCGTTTCAACTCACTGCTTGGGGAGTTGAAGCACGTCGGGTGATTGGTGATTCAATTGATCCTTGTTGGGAAAGGTGAAACTTATTCTCCCAGGTTGAGTTAAGATGGTGCAATGCAGAGAATCTGTCTGAAACTCTGAAAAAGGGCTGTTTTTGGACCATCCTTTACTGCCAAAGAACTGCTTCCGATCATGCACTTCAATGTGACGTGTTTGTCGAAGTGTCGTTTTTGACCAGATTCATAAGAGATTGTATTTCTCAACATTTATGCTCTGAGATCTTTGCCTCAAGTAAAATGTCCCAATCAATCTAGCAGAATAGCAGAAAAGCAACCAGTTTTGACATGTTGGAAGAGTCGTCGACAGCGATTCCTTTCACGCCGTGGTTTTCTAATGGATTCCGCCAACCAGACCCTTTTTGCTCCAGTCGGCTCCAGCGCTTTCACGCGCTGCAGAATGCCCGAGTAAAACAGCCCAAGTCCACTGCGATGGGATCCAAGTCCACATGGGGCGGTTTCGTCTCAGAAGGTTTGGTTTCGTCAAGACGGGGCGCGTCTAGACGACGTCAGACAGACATATTTCCGAGTGTTTGACCCACTTGACGTCTTAGACGACGTCACTTTAGCTGCCTCTTTTAGCAAGTTCGTTCGGTCTTTTTGGGCCTCCAACCACAACGCCGAAATGCCGCGTGCCAAGCACGGCAGCGCGCCCCACGCGCCCCCCACCCCCAAAACCAGCAGTTCCTTGCAGGAAGGGTTCAGATGCCACCCGTCCCAGTGCATGCGGGGCGAACCTTCTTCTGCAACCCTTCGGGCACCTGTTCGGAACATTTCGGAACCGGACAGAGGTCAGGATGTCGAGGGCGAACACCCCAAGCGGCCCAAGCACTGGTCTAAACCAAGCACTAGTCAGGAAGAACCCGACTGTTCGCCTAGCATTGCATAGAGCTATCCCAGGTGATGGGTCTTTTCAGGTCACTTGACCTCTGGAAGGAGTCTAAGGGCCGAAGATGCTTCGATGTATGACCGTTTTGATCCGAAGTCACACGGTCCCAGAAGTGAACCGAATTCGGTCTTTTCAGAAGACAGCAGGACACGAAGACCAATCAGAAGACCAATCAGAAGAGTGTTTCCAGCTTGATGTTCAACCATGCCGTGTAATAAGTCATTCCTTCTATATAGATTAGGCGCTCGCGGAGGCAGTTGTCAATCGAAGTAAATCGAAGTGATTTCCTTATGCCAACGACATGGCCTTCCGCGCGAACCTGCTGCGCGCTGCTACACCTCTGCCTGCTGGCAGCTCGGCAGCGGAACCGGTCGCAGCAGAACGGTCGGTCGACCGACGTCGTCGTCCCTGGGCGAAGCACGTTCCGTCGCATCTGAGTCACCGGAAGGATTCTGCTCACCGGATCCCATTCACTCTCACTCTCACCTCCTCTCCACCCGCCCCAGATCCCTGATGATCTTGGCCCAGTCACCGATCTTGGACCAGCTGCAAACAGATCAATCCCTGGTGCGAACAGATCTGGGCCACTGGGGTCCACAGGGATCGCACCTCCGCGCTGTCTCAGGCGCCGCCGTCACACGTCTCGGCGCGGAGGATCGCCGGAGAGGTGACGCTAGGTGCGGGGGGCGGGGGTGCGAGGTGACCTCAACAGGCCTTCGGTGTCAGGGGCGGTGGGAGAGGGGCCTTCGGTGTCGGTGTAACGAGATTTTCGGGTGGGAGGTGGGGTGAAATCTCATGAGGGAACCACCATGAGGATGCGGTTGCGTCTCGCAAGTCGGGTGCAGAGCCGTGAAGCAATCGATGTGCCTCCAGGCCCCTCAAAGGGCTCCTGCCCCACAGGCTCAGAAGGTAGTTAGACACCCCCAAAACCTACCAACCACCTTCTCAGGTTGGTGGTTGTTTCGCTCCAGGGATTTGGGATGATTTTTGGAAGAGGGAGGGCAGATCCCCTCCGATCGGCTGGTAGAAGGGTCTAGTTTCCGAACAAGAAACAAGAGGGGGGTCGGAATAGTTGAGGCTCCCCAAGACTGAGCTACATAATCCCATTTGATTTGGTGATCCTGGACATCAACCTCTGCCAGTCATCATTTGTTTGGGGTGACGACGTAATAAGACAACCTGCAGCTGATGGATGTCCAGACATCCCAGTCCGGACATCCTGCTCCATGAACCGATGCTTCTTTGCATCCCGAAGACCAAAAACCGGACGTTTCTCCTGATGAAGTGCCGATGAAGTGTGGCGGAGTGACTCCGCAGTTCTTTCCTTCATATTCTCTTCAAAAATGCTTGAAACCCCGACACTGGAATATATGCCGCCCCATTGACCCCTCCTTTCACCAACTGATCGGCCAAGATGGCCGTCCCACGGGTGGTGTGTGGGACGACGGTCTTCTCCCGTCCACGACGGTCGACGCTGCTCGTTGCTCGCTAGGACCCGGACAGGCCACGGTGATCAGCAAATTCTGCTTCGAGCCTTGGTCCGAGAAAACCACCGAAATCCGGAAGATCTGGGATTCTCATGTTGGGCAACGGTTTCGCCACGGAAACAAGACCCAAGGAACTGTGGTAGCTTTGAACATGCTGTTCTTCTTTGAACGGAGGACAAGTATGGTGTGAAAAGATGCTTGGAGAATGAAGTGTGGTGGCATCTATGATAACAACACCAAGCTTGGTAAGCATGACTTTGAACCATGCTGGTACTTGGAAAACTACGCCGGACCATGCAAAGCCAAGGTTTGTAAACACTCGGGTGTTTGTACCACGCTCCAATCATGCAACCTCAGACATCAACATGAGGCCCCTGACCGAGATGTTTGTTCTTAAGTTTCTTTGCAGCAAGCTATTTCCAACGAAGGCACCAATCCAATGGAAAACGGCTGCGTGGTCCCTGCGTTGGGTCATTCTGCTGTTCCTTCGGCGTTCTTTGGATCTGCCAACAGGCTCTGCCAAGCAGGCGCAGCCCTGGATGAGGCCGATGGCTCTGTTCGAAGCCAGGTGCCACCGCCGGACGCCGCACCTCTGAGACCACAACGAGATCACGGTCTGTCGATGTTGCCCAGATGCGTGCGCGGAAAAACCTCGTTGCCCAGGACGGTTACACAGGACGTTACATGGCTTCTCAACCGCCGCTTTGCGTCCCCGGTGGCGGTCGCAGCGTGCCTCAGACTTGTGTTGGCCCACATACAAGTAGAGCAAAAGAGAGTCCCACAAGTGTCATGGAAATTGGTCTGCTTCTTCAACCGCAAGAACAGATTTCGTGGCAGGCGCAGCACTTGGGACATGGCGGTTGGTCTTCGGCGCCCTCTGCTTTCGCGGCAGGTCGGCAGGTGCAGTGAATCGTGATGTCTTCAGAATTCGGGAGACATATCGTGGAAAGCTTTCGAGGAAAGCATCTCGGGATTGAACGTGCCTTTGTTGAAACCTGGAAATGCCTGATTTCCCCTAGGGCTCCTGGCCTACCTCCGTTTCGAAGATGGTTGGGGTGGATTTAGGGGGTCTAACTAACCACCTGAGGATATGGTTGGAGCCCTAGGGTTCGTAGAAGGCACAGCACTTTGTAAACCTCAAAGTGCAGACTTCGTGTCAGGCGAGGCGGCGCAGCGCTTGGTGAGTCTCGACGTGCAGGCCATCAAATGGCCTGTGCAGCAATCTGTGAACCTGTGCTCTCATGCGTGTGCTCTCATGTGCGCTCGAGAACTTTGCCGTTCTTTTAAACCGCTTTTTGTTGTTTACGCGTCCTTTGTTCAGCCCGTAGCTGCCGTAGCATGCTTGATGTTTGTATACCTCCTATTTATATCATAGTTGTTTCAGTTTCAGGCATACCATAAAACATTTTTGGAGGCGCATTGAGCCAATAATTCTACTATAGTTCTATCTGGAAGAACAACCGCAGCGTGCTGAGGACTTTAACCCTCAATGCCATGATCATCAAGCTTGTTTGGAACCGCCTGGAGAACTGGATCTCACTGTGGGGGCTCAGAGAAGGAACCGTCGGATGTACAGTGATGAACGTTTCATGACAACGGTCCACTGCCTGGTCGACTTGAGGGTTTTTCAGGGGTCAAGAGACTGGTGAGAGCAGTTCGAAGGTTATAGATGATCCAAAAGGCTTTGGTCTACACGATGCTGGGCAAGTCGAAGGCTACACGATGCTGCCTTCACTTGGTCCAGTCCACCAGTGAATGCATTCAAGAAAACAGGTTTAACATGTACAATTTTAATATATATATATATATATATTCATGTTACACACCCCGATGTTTGGGTATTGGAGGCCACTTTGACATATTTCCTTGTCTATATAGACCCTTTTTTTGGTGTTGGGGAAGAGGGGAAATTCCCAGTCGAAGGCTTCACTGGCTGACAAGTGATCCGCCGGTGAAGACGTTTCTTTGTTGCAGCTGGCAGGGCCCTGGGATGAATGCCAATTTGATGGGTGGTTTGGAGAACACTATCAGACTATCAGTGATTTTTGGTATTTTGCCGACCTTCTTGAGAAATCCATCCCATGTGATCAATTCGAGTCGACATGGGAGCCGACGGATCGTCGAGCGGAAGACCGTCCAAATTGAACTCAGTTTTGGTCGGCACCTCGTTGGTTTCAGGCCTGCTTTCCAATTTGGTTCCGAGAAGCGAGTGAAAAGACTGAGACTGGCAAAGACTCCCAATGGATTCACCATCCGCACAAAGAATACTTCAAAGTTAGCAAATGCTATATCATATTAATTAGCACACAGTACGACATTGCATCCGTTCGAACATGTATCATAGCTGTATTATAAGTATGCTTTTTATTACTATAGTGCCTGCATGGTTTTTATATGTTTTTATGGATCCATTTTTGGGGTACGAGAGCGCCGTTCGCTGGCGTTTTCCGCTCCTCGTGTGTTGGCACACGATTTCGTCATGACGATTTCCAGGCGACTTGCTGCTGTGAAGTTCGCCTCCGATGAGCTTCGTGAGCACAATTAGTAGGCTTGTTTGGAAGAAGGTATTTGTCCTCCTCCCTCTCCCAAACTGCTTTCCTCCCACTCTTCTTGTCCTGTCAACCATATGGTTCGGCGTTGTGTTCGATGTAAAACCTCCAATCTACTGTACCTCACCCTCAAGCGGCCGCTTCGTTCTCCTTTTTGGCGGCGCGGCGAGGTCTTCTCGGCGCACGAAGCGCCTCGTCGACGGTTCCGGGAGCACCTCGTCGAGGCGCGGTCGACGGTTCTGGGTGCGGCGGTCGTCATGGGATGCTACGACGTTGTGTGGGGATGCTCCGCGCTTTGGCGTCGTGAAGGTGAAGGAGAGGTGAAAGATGTCGTTTTATTGGGGAACATGTGTTGGTTCATGAAACAGGGTGGTAGATCGAGCTGGCTCAGTCGCCTTTCCTCACCAACATTTTGCGTGCAGCATGATCCGAGGTGAACCGAATTGGCTGAGTTGCTCACATCAAAACGATCTAAACTGGAGCAACATCCCCTCACGTTCTTTGCCAAACGCATTTGTGAACCCAGCAGAACCTGGTAAAGAACCCATCAAAGATGAGCTTCTCATGTTCTTCGAACCAACTCACGTTCTTTGCCAAGTTATGGTGAGCTTCTCAGGGACATTCCAACAGAACCCCCATGACCGAAAGCCTTGGTTTTTCTCGGGCTCGGTGACCGAAAGGCGATCGAAGGCCCGCGAGGTTTCTCTTCATACCCCGGGTTTGAGGTGGGACCTCCAAGAGCCGTGAAGTTTCCAGCTTTGAGCTCACAAACAGAGCCGTAATCCGGTCACTGGATGGGACTCCAAACAGGTCCCTTTTCAAGAAGCTGGCAGAGTTTGTTCTAGAAACCTTCACTGAGCCGCAGCACCTGAACATGTCCCTTTTCAACACAGCTTCCTGATGCAGTTCCCCGTTGTTCGGTCATGCAGTTGGTTCCCGCCGCAGCTTCCCGGTGTTCGTCACCGAGGCCAGGGAACCCAAAGTCACGGTGGCCTTGCTGGACGACGAGTGCCGATGACTCGCGACGACGACGAGTTACGACGGGTGCGGTGACGACGACGAGGGCCGCGGTGAAGCGCTCGGCGAAGAGATGCCGCATTTAACGGCCGCGGTTGGCGTCCGGATGGTAGGTACGGTAGAGTGAAACATTGTTTGCCATTTGGAGACCAATGAAACGGAATGAACACGTTTCTATCTTTATTTGGAACCACTATAAGCCCAGAGAATCAGGGTTCCCAGGCGCATACAACATGAGGCATCAGGCTTTCCAAAAGTAAGCGAGGATGCCAAGTTCTCGGTGTTCAGCCACACCAAGCAATCTCAGATTGGATCCACAACATGTTTTTTGACAGACCTGATCCTACTGGGATGTACCTCTTCAGCTCTGGACATGGTGATCACTCGACTCTACTCGGTGGATCGGCGCACCTCAGCAGGGGGACTCCCCCCCTGCTGGTCCAGGTATTTCAGCTTCCCAGAAGTCTCCCAAGTCTGGGGCGAGGCCGCTGGGCCCGGGACGTCCGCCCTGCCATGCAAGACTCGTGGCAGCGGAGAAGGGGAAGGCCAGGAGACCATGTAGTATGCTGGGCGGACAAGAGGGCCCCCTGGTCCCCCTTTTCCTTGGTCTTCACTTCTACATGTCTTTGCTGTCACTTTGCTGTTCTGGGTTCATGTGGAGCATCTAGTCCGCCTGCCATTCCGAGTGTTCGAATTTGACGTTCGAGTGTGGCTGACGTTTTGAGACCAAGATCAAGCAAGATCAAACAAGCTCTGCGTGTCTTCTCAGCCATGTTCTCAAAACAAGATCTCTTTCGTGCAGACCGGCCAGAACGCCAGTCCACCGACCCTACGACCCTTCGGATCCCTTCGGCCATCAGAACACAAGGGCTACAGATGGCTACAGGTCTTCAGATGGACATTCTTTCGGTCTTTGAGCTTCTTCCTTTGGCTAGTGCTTTGCTTCGCTTTCGATCAGCAAAGCCTCCTGTTTCCAACTATGACCCCCGAAAATCGCTCGCTGGTCGGGACGTCGGGACGAGCCGTACTCGGTCGGGACCGACCGTTCGTTTCGGCCGGCCGAAACTCGGACGACCGACGAGTCGAAGCGGCACGGGTTCGTGGTCGGCGAACGAACGCAGCGGGGCGGCTGCGTTGGTTCCCAGCCCCCAGCTTCCAGAGACACCCCAGACGTGACCCCAACATCCTCACTCAACAAACCACGCCACGACCTGCGGTGCCCAACTCCCCAGACCCGAGCTCAACCGAAACGCCCACGCTCCCACCGACCTGCCTGAGGCGAACTGCAGCGATGTGGCCAAGGCGGCGAAGAAGGCCGAGTTGAGTTCTGGATCGGGTGTGGGCCAAAGGGATGAATCCATGTAAATCCCCTTCTGGTTCCTGGTCCCATGCTTCGTGATTTCGGAGACGAGAAGCATTTTGGTATACTACTTCTGGTGGAAGTCCTCCATCTACTGGGAAGATGTCACTTTTTGGGGGGGAAAAAGGATGGACTGCAGGAGCCCAGACACCAGCCACAGCACCCGGCTGCTCCGGGTGCTCCGGGTGCTCTTCCCTGAATGGGTTGGAACATGCTGGTATCATCCTGGCATCTCCTGGGGATGATCCGAGGAGCAGGATCCGAGGAGCAGGAGAGAAAGTGAAGAAACCGCAAGTTAGAGAGCTAAGATTCCTTTTGGTGTTCTTTTTCTTCCTGACACTCACTTTGTATCAGATTCTATTCTATCACCCTCACGATCCCTCATAATGTTTAGAGGCTTGGCTCAGCATCAGCACATTCTTCATCGTGGTTCTGTGGCCTTGGACCTTGCTCCCACGCACCAGCGCCAAGGTCCACGCAAGGAGGAAAGGTCTTCCGAAGAAGGAAAGATGGCAAGGAAAAACCCAAAGAACCAATCCAATGGCCCAACGACCGGACACTTGGGTCCAAACCATCGGGTCAGGCTGTATACCCCTCCCCTCAAGGCCCCAGGGTGTGTCGCCCCTCGCCCCTCGCCCCACCCGCGCTGTCGCCCCGTCGCGCTGTCGCCCCGTGGCGCGCACCCCAGACCTTTCCGCTGGAGTGGCACCGCATCGCTTCGGTGGCGGGACAAGCCATGAAGACCAACGTGGTGGAGCGGCGTCGGCGTCGGGGGGCGGGGGCGCGGTTTTCGGGGCGCCGGCATCGCTCAGTGCGGGCCGGGACGGAGAGCAAGGGGAGAGCGGAGTGGACCTCGATCGGAGGTGTTTAGAAGGAACCCTTCAGATCACAAGACACAGCTCTGTGTCTAAGCCAGTGGCCTCCAGCCTCCAATTCCATCCAATTCCTGAAGTTGGAGATCCGGTGTTTTCCGGTGTCTGGTACACCCACTAGAGTCAGAGACGTCTGGTTGAGCAAAGAAGCACTGCCATTCCGTTTTTTGCGTCTTTCTTCTTGGACACACACACACACATCGCTCGCCATGCCCGCTGCTTACCTTCCTCATGCCCGCTGCCCTCCTCCAAGTGATTGCCGCACCTCGGTCCGGACACGACCCCGAACGGCCCGTTCCGGACACGTTCCGAACCCGAAGACTGGACCCCACCGGAAGTGGGGGGCAGATGGTTTGGAGGAGAAAATCCGACCACGGTGGTGGTACATCGCTTTGGCGTCCTGCTCAGATCATGCCTTGACGCTGAGTCGCTCGGGCCGGGCATCGGTGGAAGGGGGAGGGGTGGAACAAGGGGGACCTCGGAGGACCTCGGCATGCTGAGCAGAGGACGAAACCAGACAGATCATGTGACGCTCATCTTGAAATGGTGGGCGCTGGTTGCGAAAGTGACTGTTAAGTCGTATGCCGTGCCTGAGCAACCCTTGAAGCATGCTCCTGAGGGACTTAAGAACCATTTCAATCGAACCACCTGTGACCTTCAAAGGTTCGTCGCGCCCAATCCACACGCCAATTCCTTGGAGTTCTGCGAGGTCCGTGTAGGCCGGTTCTTTCATTGGTTCATCGGTTCTTTCAACACCTTTTAACTGAAACATTCCAGGGATCATCCTGTTTGGGTGTGCATTTCAGCTACCCTACCCTACTTATAGGTCTCCAGACAGGGCACCCAGACAGGAAGTGCTAGGTCTGCCAGGTTGCTTTCATTCCATTCAGCAGATTTGCTCTTTCCACATCTCGTGATGCTTCAGCTTGCGTGGCAGACCTTCTGGGTGTTGCTGAAGCAATTCGGCAAAACCACGCCGTTAGAGCAGTGATATGAAATCCAATCATTTATATAATATTATATAGTAATGTATAATGTATATATAGACTATAGACACTTGATTCATAACCACCCCAGTTGGATTGAAAGACCTCTTCATATGGGGGTAACAGAGGTCTACGGGCTTCGTAAGATAGATTTCTCGTGGATCGCCTCTTGGCTTTTGAGATAGATGGTGTAAGGAATGAGGTGAAATGGTTGTGGGTGCACCCCGGTTGCCCGGAACTCACCCTGGTAGGTTGACCAACTAGTCCGGTTGTCTATTATGTTCATTTCGGTGGTAAACCAAGGTCTCGCAATTGGTTTTTGAACCACAGCCATATATGATATGTCTTCGTCGTCGTCCCGTTTGCTTTCGAAACCTCTTTTCAAAGCGCCGATGAAGCCGAACGAGGTTTTGGGGTGATGACCTCGAATCCCTTGCAGGGAGCCAATGCCCAACTCTCTATGGATGAGATAGGCGCGACATTCGGCTGAAATGCACAAACCCACCTGGAACAGAACAAATGGTTGTTCCAATATGGCCATTGACATCCTTTACAATTAGGAAATGGCTGGGACTGGGGAAACCTTCTTCGAGGTGGCACCAGTGGTGCGGAGACATGGCTGGGACGGGGTGTTCTCCCGCCGGTACGACCACATGGAGCCTGAAAACCATGGGGGGTTGTAAAACCCCGTCTTTCTGGGGTGCCATTCGACCCGGGTCCAGGTGGTTCTGGGAGGGCAAAGCATGTATGTCACGCTAACAACGCTCACAACGCTCGATCTGTGTCCACACATCTCGCACATCAACGGGTCACATGGGATGGCCTCTTGAATTTGTTTGGTTGATTCATAGAGGGATACCAGCTGACGTGAACAACCAACAGGTATATTATATGGTACCTTTCATCAACCCTTCTATTGTTCCCAAAAGGACATCATGGGCAGGTCCATTCAAAAACGCATAGTGGCCACATGTACCATCCAGCACCATCCAGCAATACCCCGACGGTTGATTCATAAAACCGGATCAAAATGGTTTTACATTTCCAGCCCTGAGGTGATGAATCAACCGTCAACATTCATAGAACCGGGGGCTTTTCATTTTCTTCACGGGAAGTTCACCCCCGACCAATCGTGAGTGAGCCCAGTTTGGCATCGACACCGAACATGGCATGTCGTCCTGAACTGGGCGGACCATAGATGGCCTTATACTGTTCCCTAGGGCTCCAACCACATCCTCAGAAGTTAGCCGAAGGTAGTTACAGTAGACAGTAGACCCCCTACTGGTTGGAGCCCCAGGGATTATTCCAAAAAGGACATCATTGGGGCGGACATTATGGCATGGATCACCTGAGCCTTTGGCCTTTTGCCGATTTTGGAGGCATCCTGCCCGTTTGCAGCATGGCGCTTCTGGGCCACTCGACGCATAGATGGCTTGGGCCAAAAATGACTGGGCTGAAAATATCGAATCCGACCCATCAGGCCATCAGGCGGGTGGTTCAGGGCTCTCAGCGAAGAAAACACGCAACGTGGTCGGTTCTTTCATCCACTTTTCTTCTTACAACTCAGGACGGTAGTTAGTTTGGCCACCCCCTTGGAGATGCCAAATTTGAGGGCGGACACACGTAAGAAACATCCGAATGAAGGCGGTGTGTCCGCTGCTTGGTTGATTTGGGGATTTCATTGAAATGGTGGACACGGTAAATGGAGGGTTATATGGATATGAATGTATATCAGTGCAAAAGGGATCCATGTTTTGATGATTTGGCGGTGTCTGGTGTGGCGCAGTTTGCATCGCGCCATCCTGAGGCCATCAACCACCAAGATAAAGGTCGGGTACGAAGGTAGGTGACGTGCCGGCGCATTCTGGGACTTGCTCTTTGTAGATGTGATCGGTTGGCCAACCTTCTCTGTCGCGAGGCTTTGGCAGCTTGTGCGCGATTCACTTGAAGCTTGTGGCCTCAGAGATGGGGGGAGCTTGCTCGGGGGGTCACCAAGGGCGTTTCTTTCCGCTGATCGGGTGAGGTTTCATGTCCCGAACTGAGTCAATCCCCAACCCTGAGGAAGGTTTTGTTATTTTTGGACGGTGGTGAAGTCAGGTGAAGTCAGCGCAGCGCTGAGAGGTCGGCCATTCTGCGCCGTCGGTCAGGTGATATCGCTGAGAGATCCCTTAACCGTTAACCGAGCTCAGTCTGACACCACCGGCCTTTTTTGGGGGGTGTAGAAAATGTGTCACTTGAAAAATAACATCACTATTCATCGCTCAGTTCAGTAGATTTGACCATCATCCACTTGCAGGCTTCAGGGTCCCATGAATACCCGCTAGTCCATTTGTGTGGACTGCAGGTGCAGGAGGTCAGGACAAGCGATAGCTCCAGGAGTCCCTTCACACCCAGCAACTTCTCAATGTAGGAGTTTTCACGTCATCACAAGCAGTGGAATGCTCCCACCATGTGAACGCGCACTGAAACTGCTACAAGAATAGGACCACGTACCTGGGGGGTCCTGGTACCGTTCCAAACTCCTCCAAAGGAAGACTGCAGCGTTTCGACCTTCAGGGAGTGTACTCCCTGAAGGTCGACGCGGAGTTCACCAGCTGTTTCGTATGTGAGAAGAAAGATCCATCCTTAGCTATGCCATCCACGCTTGGCCCATGCTTTCAGGGAGTGCAGATTGGTCACTGCAACGGTCGCCCTGGAGACCCTGAGATGATTTCGGAACCAAAACCCCGATGGAGGGAGTTCGGATTAAGCATGAAGCCTCACTCAGACCAGGCCGATGGGAGCGCCTGAACATCGGAACCGCCTGACATGGCTTTCATGGCTGACAGCTGACATGGCTCTTTCACTGGTGGTGTTAAGCAGATCTCTCTTTGCCCGTGTTTCTTCGTGTTTTTCTTCACGCCTTTCTTCGTGAAAAACGCCTCATCTCCAACGGATGACGAGCCGCCGCCCCCTCTGCGTCGCGGGGTTCGCGAATCACATCCATCCGACCTTCGAGCGACAAGCCTTCGATCGACAGGCTCAGGGTATCCGATCGCATTCGACTTTTGGAGCACCCAGGCATTTCTTCCGAAGAGACCCCGAACCTGAATCAAAACCCCTATGGATTCTAGAGGAACTGAAGAAAAGGCATCCTTTCGACCGGACCTTTCAGGTCCTTTCATGAGTGGTCCTCCAGTTCCAGAAGCGAGCCACCCGCGGGCACTGGGCTGCTCTCTGCTGCTCTGATCTTGGCCTCGTGCCTTGGGCAAGTGATTTATCAGATGTGAGATGTGAGGATTGGACCAAATCTCTGCTCACAATGGTCGGTTTGTGAACGGAATCTCAGATATGGTTTGCCCAAACCAATCCGTCCATGGTGAACCAGTCGTCGATCCAACTCTGTTTGGGTCGCCGCCCCAAACATCCTAACTCCTGGTTGCTTTGCAGTGGAGGCACACGACTCGTCACTTCAACCTCTCGTCCCGTCCCGAATGAGATCGGTCTGTGAAATCGACGCTACGCCAGAGAGATGGACGGTCCATCTTGTGATGGCAAAACACGAGAACAGGTGAACAGGTGGGACCCGGTGCACAGGTGGGGCCAGGTGGGGTGTGACTGGAGCTGGACCCAACAAGCAATGGATGGCCATGGACACGATGGTCAGCCTAGTCTTCAACTCTACTGGTGGTAAGCCTTGATCAATGGATGGATTTAGATGGATTCAGTGGATTTGATGTCCATGGTCCATAGTTTAAGTTTCCTTCTCTGCTGGTGAAGGTCGACCTTGGGGCAGCCATTTTTTCCGGATCTATGACCTGGGTTCTTCTTGAGAACTTGGAGGAGCTCAGCATATCGAGCCGGCTAGACGCCCAGCGTTAGACTCTTCTGCCAAAGCTGAACAAGCCCTCTTCGTTGAACCTGGGTTGATCTGTCAGAAAGAACTGGATCACAAAGCATTTGGCTTCACACATGGAATCACGTGATGGCTTCATATGGCTTCATATGTGGCTGCATCAGCTCCCCGTTCTGAACGACCAGTTTTGGGGTAACAGCGACCGCGTCGATCCATCCATTTCGATCGCCGTTGGCTTCGTCGCACCACCGAGGACGGGCCATCTAGCCTGGCTGCTCTATTTCCGCAGCTACAGAGATACAGGAGGGTTAGCGGCGGTGAGCTACAGATACTGCAGATGGCGGGTGGGCGAATCAAGCGAGACGGCGAAAGCCGAAAGCCGGAAAGCTGGAAAGCTACTTACTACCAGGAGTCACAAAGGGGTGGTGTTTGGTCCCCAAGTGAGTGGATAATGGGCACACCTAACCTCCATTAAGCACCCCTTTGTGACTGCTGGTAGCGGTTTCTGTCCAGACTCAGTGACCCCCGTGCGCCATTGTCTTGGACCGACCTGAGGCCGACTGACGAAAAAGGAAGGGCCTAGCACTCCCTGAAATCGATACGTGGATGGCTGCTAATCCTTTCTTCGGCGCTCGTTGGCGCATGCTTCTTTTTTTCGGGAGTGTAGGTTGGCCACAACTTCGCCACATGAGTATTGTTTTTTGGGAGCTTTTTGATGGCCCGGCCCCTTTGGTGCGGGGTGAGACAGGCCATCTTTCCGAAAGGGACCATCTCCCTATTCCAAGACATCGCCAGGTGCAACATGCGGATCCAAGCTGAAGGATCTCCAAGCTGAAGGATTTCTTTCGCCACCAAACGCTGCCCGTCGCCGCCTTCGCCGCCTTCGGTGACCTTCACCTCACTCCCTTCGTTTCAGGAGAAGTGCCCGGTGTCTGGGCCAAGATTGCTCGGACCTGCGTGGGAGCTCGGAGAACCCGGTGAAGCACCGTTCTTCGAAGGAACAAGTCGAGGACAACTTGAGACGGTTGATGAACAAAGAAAACCCCCGTAAAACCATTGGTTTTATTCATTTGCCGCCTACATTACCTCAAGAGGGTCACTTAAGGTGGGAAGTGTGTCAGTGTTGCTGGGCTTGGTCCGGGTCAAACGCGCCCTTGCGACTGTCAAGCGGCAAAACTTGGCTAAACTAACCGTTCTTGTCGATGGTTTCCCACATGTTTCCACCATTCTTTTGATTTTAAATCTGAACCTAGGGTCATTGATCCCGATGACGGCTATTATATAAGGTATTTGTGAGGTGGCATGAGGCGGCTCGAAAAGTTTCCGGGTCTTTGTCTGTGAGAGCTTTCTGGCAAGCTTGGCTCTTTTCTTCAGATCTTCGATGTGTGTCCTAAGTCCTCTTCTCTTTAAACAGTCTTGGATTCTGAAGTCCATCAACTTGATGAACAAGGCCGACACGAAGAACGCCACGTCACCAGGTCTGGTCGCGGCCAAGACCTCTTTGCAAATCTTGCTGATGTTCCTCGCGCGCGGCGCCGCTGGGTTGCAGAGCCGCCACGACTTAACGGCACGTTGGACACTGGTGCCGCTCGGGGCCTATAGCAGCAGGCTTCCTCTAGCAGGCTTCCTAGCCGTTTCCAGGCTCAGAGTAACAGCCTCCAGAATTCTGGGGCTCTTTGTGGCTCGGACGCCACGATGGAGTCACGTTGGTCGGTCCTCTGCGTTGTCCTCCGCTTCCAGAGGACGAATGAGTAGGGTTGTCATCGAGTTGGAGCGTACGAGCGCTGGACCTTCAAGGGGTGGTAGACATGGACACCCCGAATCACAGCTAAGGGGCTATTAATAGACACCCCGACAGGAGGGTCCTGGTAGTTTTATAGTAACCAGAGGGATTTCAACAGTGATTTCATCTAGAATCAGGTTGAACATGGTTGAACCAAATCCCAAAGATGGTCGTTAGCTGTTTTTCCCCCAGCTACCATGATTTTGCAGCTTTGCGCCATCCATGTAAATTCTTGAGAAGCAACTTGGCAATCTAACCTTGGAAAAGATCCTCAGATTCATCACCAGAAACCGTGATTCATCGTCTTCACTCCTTTTTTGGGGTGGTCCAAGATACCACTGCGCGGTCACCTCAAGAGGGTGGACAATCCCATTACCTGCACATCTTCTCCGTCTCAGCACCGCGCATCTTCTGCACATCGACTTGGCACATCTTCTCATGTGGGACCCAGATCATCAATGAGGTCCAAGTCAGATCAAAGATCAGTGTTCATGGCCTACCCAGGATACGTGGATCACCTTTCACGTTTTGCTGGGATTGGCTTCCCCACTCAACTTCAACTGGTGGAAGAAGGGCAAACGGTCTTTATTTTCCAGGGAAACTGAGTGGGTAAGCATGTTTTCAAGAATCCCAACGTAAACGCCCGACGTACGTACTGCGTGGACAACCGGATCAAAAAGAAGGATATGTTTGATGATGTTTGTGTTTGATGACGTTTCTTTCTATTCTATTTCTAGGTCGGCCATTTCAAATCATATTGCGAGTTAGTCTAGCTGCATCCTCGGACACAGGCCATGTCTCGATTGCAACAAACGCCGAATAGCTGACGTCGGACGGCTGGTCCCACACGCTCTGCCGTTGCGCCGTCTGAGGATGCCATTTGCCGTCCCGGTATTGCCTGGGCCGGACACTCGTTTGTCTGGTTTTCAACAGATGTACATCTATATCTTGTAGGCCATCCCTCCATCCGAGCATGCTGAGCAGCATCTGGGCCGGCTGGTTTCAGTTGGTGTCATTTCATCACTTGCAGCTAGCATCATGACCACCCGAACACTGAAGCGTCCGGAGAGAAAAACTGCTAGAGTCTATAGAGACATTGGAGCAACACCTTTGGCCCGATACAACACGTCCATGTATCAGATACAAAGCGACGACCAGAAGCGCCCTAGAACCGCAGGACCGCCCACGACCGTTGGAAAGAACACAGGGGGCCCAAACCCTGAACGGCCCTGGATGCCGTCTGGTGCGAGAAGCAAGTCTGAAGATGTTGTGTGGTGATGTGGCCACTGCCAGGAGGTGCAGCTCTTCAGCATGCTGAAAGCATGCATGCTGAAGAGCTGTAGGCCAACTCTTGAGCTGTAGGCTTGAAACACTGGGGGAGACCCAAGGCTCGGCAGCGGGAGATGCTCATTGGCATGATGACCTTTGGATGTCTAGGCGACGGAGACGGATGAGTTGATGACAGGAATCAAACACCGATATGGACGTGCGTGGTGTTCCCACCACGGGATTCGCTTATTTTAGGGTAACAATTAGAAAGAAGAAGAACTTGTGTGTTGCGTGAGCCTCTTTATTTGAGGCTTCTGAAGAAGAACAGAATAAGATTGGACATTCCTGTGTAGCCCTGTTTTGGAGCACAGTCCAAGG